GGGTGGAGAGGAAAAGAAGGCCTTTTCTCTTGAACTATTTAGCTCATCTGCTGGTGATTAAACGGTGCTGTCGTGTTCTGATGTTCAGTCTTAGGACGAGTTGGCCTCTTGTCAAAATACAGTGCAGCATGCAAGCAGACACAAATATTCATTTGTGCTCCTACTTTCAGCAGAACCCATTAATTAGTTTGCAACTGCAAAGAGGGGCGAGGATGTTGGGTCTTGCATTTCTCATGTCCCGCTCACTTTTTAATTGCTCTGCCTCTCAATTGCCATGCAAGCCAATATGTTACATATTTCTCAGACAGAATGGGCTGGGTGACCTGGAGGAATGAATTCATCCCTCATGCCATTCATGAAATATTTATGCCAAAGATAGATAATACAGAATGTGTGAGGAATGTAAAACAAGAAAAATTTTAATAGTGCAGAGAGGAAGTAGACATGTACCGTTTATCAAGGGGTTTTGTCTTACATGTTCTTTCCCTGTTCTGTTTTCAGAGATGCAGTGTTTAATGTTTGCACTACAGACAATAGCTACTTTCAGGCATTCCCTGTCACACAATTAACAATCACTACCCCCATCCCCATCATCATAACTCTGTCCCCTGCTATTCTATAATTCATCCAAATAAATAAATAATAAAAATATTGAATGCTTTTCTCTGAAAATTATTCAATATGTCATACAATTAAGATATACTAGAGTTAAAAGCAAAAAAGTATAAGAACAATAACAGATTTAATCCATGAACAAGTTCTAAGGATAACCAATCATCCTAAATCTGTTATTTATAATCTGGGTTCACAGGGGACTGCCTGTAATGAGGAGCTTGCTGAAGCTGTATAATCTTTTCTTGTGAGCTGGAAACTTGCATGTTTGAAAAAAGAAAGATGGGTGCTCTAAGTAATGTTCCTCCCTGCCTTCAAATCAACCCAGCAAATTTAGAGTACACACACACACAAACACACAAATATACATTGTTTCTCTCTCATACATATATTCCCTCTCTCTCTCCTATATATATATATATATATATATATAGAGAGAGAGAGAGAGAGAGAGAGAGAGAGAGAGTATGGTATGTATTTATACTCTCTATATATGGTGTGTGTGCGTATATATACACACATATATATGTGTGTGTCTGTGTGTGTGTGTGTGTGAGAGAGAGAGAGAGAATGTGTATGTGTATGTATGTGTATATACACACACACAAACAAAATAAATTTGATAGGTTGATTTGAAGGCATAGAGGAAAATTACTTAGAACTCTTTGAAACGGCTACATTTTAAATAGCAGCCATTATATATTGAAAAATGAAGATAGCCATATTGTTCTATAAGGAACAAGGAAATCTTCAGTGGCATGATGAGGTTCCCTACTTCTCAGATCAAGAGTGCCAGGAGCAGACAGAGAGCAAAAAGAAAACATGATAGTCTTTACCTTAGCAGAGCTGATATATTAGGTGAATAAGTCAACTGTAATCAAACTAGCATTGCAGTACCTGGCTGCTTGAGGGAATGGAACCTTCCAGAACAATTACACCAGCAAAGAGGGTTCTTTTAGACCAGTGATTTGTGCCTCATAGTACTACATCAATTAATGTTGCTTCTTAACATTTGCTGTTTCCCCATCTAAATGGTCTCCTGCCTTAAAAAAAATCAGCCTTAAAAGACTGGCATATTTTGGTTCACTGGTGGGTATTTTGTTTGTGAGTTGTAATGGTAGATGTGAGTGTGCCCAACCCCTTTGCACCCATCCTGCTTTTGCTCCCAGATGTGCTTCTCAATGTATTGTAATTCTCACCTGGGGTTTGTATACATGAGTTATTTGCTTCAAATTCCCCCAGTACCCACTGATTTCTGTTTACATGATGCAGGGCCAAAACTTTGGATTGAGCATAGGCTGACTTCATGTCATCTGCATCTGATTTGGCCTTCCTTCCCTTAAACGTTGTATTTTGCTCGGGGTTTTCATCTCTCTCAACAGCGACAATGTGTGGCTGCCTTTCTATGTCCCTATGAGCCACTTGGTGCCACTGCTGTGTGTGAGAGTTGCTCTGAGGTCAGGCGCCCAGCATCAGTATCATAGCAACAACAGCAGTGATGAACAGGGATCACATGGAAAACCAGCCACCCATTGTTGCTGTGGTGAGAGCACAGGTAATGGATGGTGAAGACAAGCTCCTGGTCTCCTTTCTCTCCAATAGTTGTACATTTTTAATTAAAAAAAATATCTCTAGAACCTTAGCATTATTGCTATAAACTTATTTTTTTAAAATCTTTCTTAAATCTTCTCTTGCATACCTGGGGAAAGCAGCATCATCCAGCCAGCTCCTCCAGCTAGTGATAGTGATTTCCATTCCACCAGTGGGCCAAGAAGATCTAGGACATTGTATATCACAATACAGAGAAAGTTTTTCCTCCTCATTTCATAAAACTGGAACTCTCAGATTGTCCAGTGAACCTGCATGATCACCAACACCAATTTTTGAAGATATAGTTGATGCCATTGGTTGTAGCCCCTGTGATGAACCTCTCCTGTCACCTTAACTAATTCTCTCTCACAATTTTATGTGACTGGCTTCATAGCCCTCATCAGATACCAGTCCCAGAACTATTAATAACACACTGGTAGCGTTTGTTCAAAATTCTCACACAGAGGCCAAAATAGGTTTTTATAAAATATAAGATGGTTTTATTATGTTTCAAACATACAGGCAATGCTTCTTGGTTTTCAAACTTGATAATAATATAACCTGGTTACAGTTCCAAGTGTAGTGTAGCTATTTCAAATACAATCCTTCAGCTGTTTCTATGATTCCAACCTAACCACACAGACCCTCTCTGCACTAGAGCTCTGTTGAATCACAAAGAGTTCTTTTTTCTTCTTTTGACTCTTATCTTTGTTCAACTTATTTCCCTCAGGAACAATCCACAGCCTCTGGCTTAAGGTACTGCCTCACTATACCTCTGTCTAAGTCAGGTCCAACTGACACTCTCAAAGGTTCCGAGCCTTCTGTTCCACAGTTCCTAACTGCCTAACTCCCTAACTGACTGTATCCCTCACTGCCTGAGCTATTTATCTCCTTCCAGCTGCTCTCTCATTGGCTGGTTCCAGCTGTCTCAGGAATGGTCAGCTGTCTTCTGGTCTTCACAGGTCCCTGCTGTCTTTCTGTTCATCACAGCCCCATTATTTGTCTTCTCCTCCAGAAAAGCTTAGCACTGGCCATGTTTGACTGGGAGATTAAGGGCCTTATAGACCAAAAGAGTAACCACTCCAAACTCCGGAAAGATATGGATTACAAGGATGCACTGAGATGAAGTTAAGATGAGGTCTTGACAAAACACTGTACAAAATGTCTCCTCTCCAATGCCACCAATCCAGGACCTTTCTCAAAAAGGGAAACACATGATCATTTTGTGAGTTTCTATAGGTGATCCAGAACTTCGTTTTTAGGAATGATTGATCAACAAGTGTTGCTTGTCCTCCAGTATTGCTTAAGTTATTTCTTCCAGCAAAAGGGAGGCACTTTTTAACTTCTCTGTAAACATAACAAGATGTGTGTGTGAGCCATGGTTCAGGTGGATGCTGGATTTCACAGAAGCACCATTGGTTTTGATTTCTTTCCCCACTTTTGAGAGAAAAGCAAAGCAAAAGCAGCTTCATTTATATACCGCTTCATACCGCACTATGGGGTGTCTAAGCTGTTTACAACTGTAAGCTCATTGCCCCCCAACAGTTGGGTACTCATTTTAGTGACCTTGGAAGGATGCAGGCCTGAGTCTAGCCTGAGCCCTGGCTAGTATTGAACTTGTAACCTTGTGGTCTATGAGTGAGTGGCTGCAGTACAGGCATTTAACCACCGTGCTACCAGGGCTCCTGGTGAAACAAAGCACACATACAAAGGTATTTGTTCAATTGGATGATGGTATTGAGCCAGTGTGGTATGAAAGCCAGTGTGGTACAGTGGTTTGAGCATGGACTATGAGTCTGGAGATTAGGGTTTGATTCCCCACTTGGCCATGGAAACCCAGTGGTTGACCTTGGGTGAGTCACACACTCTCAGCCCTAGAAAACCCCATGACAGATTCACCTTGGAGTTGCCATAAGTCAGAAATTACTTGAAGGCACACAACAACAACAAAAAAAGTCCAGCTCACACTTTGACAGAGTGGAAAGGAGAATCACTCTTTTACCATCTAAGGGCTGGAAATGCAGGTTACAGTCTAACTTAATTTATTTTACACTTTTATATGAGACCTGTCTAAATGCTTGAAATGACCCACCAAATAATAGATAAACAATCCAGATCTCCTTGAAAAACAAGCAGTTCCACTGGTAAAGAAAAAACCTTACATGGCAATAAATAATAATATATATTCTTCTGTAATTAATTTTTTCAAAATTTCAGCCCATTTTCATAGCCAAAGATTTCTCAAAACATCTTACAAATGAAAAAAGTACACAACAAAAACAACAATATGGGCAATGAAAAAGTCAAAACCCTGCTAAAATAGAAATGAATTTATTACCAACAGTAACCAGCTAAAATAAATATATTTCTTTCTAGTGGTTAGGAAAGAAAAACCTAGGAGAAATATATTGACTCTGATAAATCATTTTATAATCTTGGGGTATACACAAGAAAATCCCTGCTTTGTTCCACACGCATATGGCCTTCTGCAGGCGAATTCTCAATAGGGCCTGACTGGATGAGAATGTTAATAAATGACTTTCTGGAGAACACCCAGTAATTCGAAATGTGATTCTTTCTTGCTTGCTGAGCTCACAACATTTTATTATACAGCAAAACCAAAGAATAGATGGTGTTCCACTCTTCATACTTGTTGCTGTGTGCCTTCAAGTTGTTTCTGATTTATGAAGACCCTATCACAGGATTCTCTTGGCAAGATTTGTTCAGAGGGGGTTTGCCACTCACTTCCCCTGAGGCTGAGAGCATCTGACATGCTCAAGATCACCCAGTGGGTTTCATGGCTGAGTTGGAATCGAATCCAGATCTCCAGAGTTGCAGTCCAACAATCAAACCACTAGGCCACCCTGGCTTTTAGTATGAACTACTCTTCATATTGCCACCTAACATTTGCTAGTTGCACTGGTGAAGCATTATTTAAAGAAAAACAGAGGGTCCATCATCTTTTTCTGTTTTTTTTTGGGGGGGAATGAGGTGTCAGAAATTCTATCCTGTTTTTCATGTATACTGTGTACAATAATCTACCACTTAATAGAAATACAGCTGCTTTCTGGTAACCAAATCAAGGTGTTAGCTTTCTAAATTTCATCTTCTGATCAGTTGGAGTCAAAATACAAAGACTGACCTTTTAACATCATGTACAAAAAAACATACTGCATGTGCAGGCACGTGAGTCACACATTAATCACACACATGAAAGCAAAATGCACAGGCCCTCTCTAGGAAGCTAGACACAAGGACTGACACAGCCAACTGTGATGGAGTGAGCCATAGTGTACATTATTTGGGTGTTGGGAGAGAAGCCTCTGAAAGAATCTCCTGCTGAATTCTGCCTTCCACTTTTAATTCCCAATTTTTCTGCTCCTGATCATGAGCTATGTGCCTTATATTAGTATGTATGTATGTATCTATACATCTATCAACAACAGCATCTATCTGTCTGTTTGTCTGTGTTGGCGAGTTAGTAATATGGAGCAATGAATGATATGTTCCAAACTTCAAAACAAGCTGCACTAGTACACGAGGAGAAGGCATTCACGCACTGAAAGGGCATCCCTTCAGCAACTCCAGTAGATTGTTGCACAAAAGAAAATAGAACAGCACAAAAGTGCATGTGTATTGATTTCTCCTCTTTTGTTGTTGTGTGCCTTCTAGTCATTTCCAGCTTATGGTGACTCTGAGGTGAACCTATAATGGGTTTTCTTGGAAAGATCTGTTCAGAGGGGATTTATCTTTGCCTTCAACTGAGGCTGAGAGAATGTAACTTGCAGTGGGTTTCCATGGCTCAGTGGGGATTTGAACCTTGATCTCTAGAGTCATAGTCCAATGCTCAAACTACTACATCACTCCTGTTGTGTGCCAAGTGTAAATATTTGTATGATTACAAATGAGTGAGGGTTTATTTTTCCAAGAGACCAGCAGTCATTGCTTCTCTATTTAGCATGATTGTTTGGCTATTTAGACCAGCACAAAGGGCTCAGTATAAATTATTTGCATTGGCATTGGAAAAGGATTGGTTTTGATGACTGTTGTGGTCCTTCTCACTTATGTGATTCAGTATTAAATTACTGTTTAACCATATGATGCTGGATGTCAGACCACTGCAGTTAGAGGAATATATGTTTATTTTCCCCCAAACTTTGATCCTCCAGGTGTTTTGGATTTCAGTTCCCAGAAGCCCTAGCCAGCTTAGCCCATAGTCAGGAATTTTGGGAGGTAAACTCCACATCTGGAGGACCAAAGTTTGGAGATCACTGGTTAACTAGTTAGACTGCAGTGTCGTCTGTTCTTACTGGCAAGATGCCTCCAGTTTCTTGGGCAATGGATTTTCCTAATAGCTGCTATCTCAAAGATAAAGAAACTGACTCTTCACCTAGTTGGTTTCTAGTTTGTATCAGGCTTTACCAGTCTGTCTAAAGGTGAGGAATCATGAGAGTAACAGTTCATCAATATATGAATGTTCTCCCAGCAATGTTCTCCCAGCTACACGATCATTTAAATGAAAACATGCAAATTATGGAACTTGGGAACATCTGTATCCAAAGCGTGTGTTTATTGAACTATTGCCTTTATATATCAGGCCAGAATTTGTGTAGGATTTCAGTGAATCATGCCTTTATTATGACAGTAGGATTTGGGTGAATGACATGGAGTTGGAGTCAGAATAATCAGTGGGGTTCAAGGGGAAAATGCATCAATAACACCTGCATTTTAATATCTTAAAATTTATATGGTTATTCTGTGCCAAGCCTCATGAGGCATTCTTGGATATAGATAATCCTGTATACCATTTGAATGGATGGATTCTACCTATTTACAAACCCATCCTGTGTATTGCATGCCTTTAACATAGCTCTAGTGATAGGCACAAAGTTTTAATCTCAGTAAATTTAGTAGGGCTCATACTAGGGTTGGTATCTTGTTAGTAGCATAAGTCAGACATGTATTGGTTGTGGGGGTGGGGATGGCTGTAGTGACTTTGTGGTACGTCCAGGAGTTGGTGAATGGCCAACTGTAATACAGTTCCATATGTGGTGGAACTACTGTGCTGTGGTTTGGTCTGTGTGTTTAAGCCAAAAACACAGGTTGGGTTTGGTGGCCTCTGAGGGAGAGAACACCCATTGTTGCCTAGTCTCAACAGCTGGTGAGGCACCCTCCTTCCATTCCAACTGCCACTGTTGTGGCCCCTGAGGGAGAGAAGAGCCAACAGGAGAGAGAGTGAGGACCACAGAGACCATCATGGGAGTGTAGGAAGGAACAGGCTGCTTTTGTTTGTTACTGCCTTTGAACTCTGCTTCTCTCGGTGGCCTAGCTCTTTGCAGGTCTGAAGTCCTGATTCAGCAGGCGCTGCTCTTTACACTTGTACTTTATTCTTGCACTGGGTAGAGAGGGCAAAGGTTTGTCCTTTTGATGGACAGAGAGTAGGGTCTGTTACCTGCAATACTTCTTTGGCCTTAGAGGGAGAAAGACAGGCCAGCTCCATCGGGCCTAGCCTAGATTAAGAAGGAGAGCCCTCCCGCCAGTCAATCTGCCATGGTCAGAGAGAAGGGTCTGTTGGGTCTCAGAGGGAGAGAAGAACTGCTGGACCTGATCCCCTTCCCCACTACTATTCCCTTCTCTTTTTGTGTCATATCTTTTTAGATCAGCTTTGGCTGATACGCCAGCTGCGCCTTTTCCTGGAAGTTGGGGACCTTAAAACTGTGGTGCACATGCTGGTAACCTCCCTTCTTGATTTCTGTAATGCACTCCACATAGGGCTACCCTCGTGCTTGGTCCGGAAACTCCAGTTAGTACAGAATATGGCAGCCAGGTTGGTCTCGGGAACAACTAGAAGAGACAATATAATGCCAGTTTTAAAGTCACTTCACTGGTTGCCCATTAGTTACCAGACACAGTACAAGGTGTTGGTTATCACCTTTAAAGCCCTAAATGGCTTGATCCAACTTATCTCTGTGACCACGTCCTCCTATATAATCCACTCCGTGCACTCAGGTCATCTGGGAGGAATTTGCTCCAGCCTATAAAGGCTAGGCTGTCTGCAACTGCCTAGAGGCCCTTTTCAGAAACTGCTCCCAGATTATGGAACAGCCTGTCAGACGAGATCCGTCATATCACCACTTTAAACAGCTTTAAAAAAGCTGTTAAGATGGATCTCTTCCAGCAAGCTTTTCTTGAATAGATATCCTGGCTGCAAGAGTTAGGGCCTAAGCAGACTGCCAGAAATAGTGCACATTAAATTGAGGCACTGCCCTGGCTCAGTGCTAGGGAATCATGGGAACTGTAATTTACTGTGGCACCAGAGCTCTCTCACAGAGAAGGCTCAAAGTCCCAGAAAAAAATACAGTTCCCATGATTCCCTAGCACTGAGCCAGGGCAGTGCCTCAATTTAATGTGCACTATTTTTGACAGTCTGCTTAGGCCCTTAGTCCACCTTTCCACATTCTCTGTCACAGTTATTGTTATTTGTTTGTTCTGTGTCACTGCGACTTATTTTAAGTATGTTTTAAATTGTTTAGTGTTTAATACTATTTTAAGGGATGGGTGGGTCCTTGGGATTTGTACCTTTATGATATTTTAATGTTGTAAGCCACCCTGGTTGCATTTACAGAGGGGTGGGATAATAATAATAATAATAATGGCTGAAGAGCAGGGATATAAATACTCCAAATAAGTAGGTAGGTAGCTAAATAAGTAGGTAGACTCTATCCATGAAAATGGTAGAATCATAAAGCCAGTCTAACAAAATAGGTAATGATGGGAACGTTTGGCTTTCCAAATTGTTTTTGGAAAATTTAGAACTGGAATGCTTAATACTGAGGAATTGCAGGAGTTGCTGTTGAAACATGAGAAGAGACAAAAATTTCTCCACCACATATTTTTTCTTTTTTGGGAAAAGAGATATGTATTTCAGATTTCTAAATTGTGAGATTTTGAGGACAAGAACTGTAAAGAATGTGATAATTCTCTTACCATAAAGGCTGTTTTTTTAAAAAATGCAACTGGTTAAATGTACAGTTCAGGAAGTGAAAAATAGTTTGAAGATTTAATACAACTGTTTTGTTGCACCAGTTCCATCTATACAACATCTTGTCTTGACACCATCATGCAGAAGAATGAGCTATTTCCATGCACCTTCATGTGAGGATATTTTGCAAACAGAAATATTAAAGTTTACCTATTTATTTATCCCAAAATTGAAGCTCAAGGGGGATTACAGAAATGAAAACAGATAAAAACATATGTAGGTTTAATCATACAATGAGTTATTGTTAAAATATAATTTAATTACCATATACATTATATGGTATGATGGATATATATATCCATCAGCACCTACCAACAAAGAGGGAAACAATCTAACTTTCCTGGGAAGGCAGTTCCACAGCATAGAGCAACCTTTGAAAAGGTTGGTACATTCCTACCTGACAGGCCTATGACCATGTCAGAACCAAGAGAAAGGTTTCCCTGATCTAAAAGTCTTTAAGGGCCAAGGGACTTCAGCTCCCAGAAGCCTCAGCCATGTTGGCCAATAGTCTGGGATGTTGGCCAATAGTCTGGGATTCTGGGAGCTGAAGTCCTTCGGCCCTTAAAGGGGACAGTTTGCCTACCCCTGGATGCATTTGCATGGCAGTCTCCATCTGAGGCTGTGAGAATTTGACTTGCCCAAGGTTAGCTAGTGGGTTTTCATGACTGAGCAGGGATTCAATACCTGATCTCCAGAGCCATAAACCAATGCTCAAACCACTACATTACCCAGTTTCTCATTAACATGATCAGATTTCCTTAGTTAGTTTAGTGTAAAGCTTTTTCAAAGAAAATATATCATCATCATCATCATCATCCCACTTGGGG